TCCAGCACTTTTTGAGGCTGGAGCAGATGGATCACAAATTCAAACTCAACCTGGACAACTTAGTGAGACCCTATCTCAAAATAAAAAGAGAGTTTGTATGTACCTCAGTGCAAAGGTCTTGAGTTCAATCCCTAGTACAGAAGGGAATAAAAAGTTTGTGGTCCTAATATGAATATTTGAAAGATGCTGTATGCCAGCATCAAAATAAGAAAGCAAATCTCCATAAATTAGCTCTATTTTAGCATCAAAATACAAAAAACATAAAACACAAAGGCTTTAATAGGATTTCAAATTCTCAAGTTGAAAAGAGGCAGAATTTTGAAAAATCAAAGGTGTGAAATAGAGGAGAGTAGATGAGGGAAGACATTTGTACCTTACTGTTTTCTATTGCTTGTATGTAGTTATTTGATTCTAATAATCACTCTTCCATCTCCCTACCAAGTGCACACCTTTGAGCTTTCAGTGTAATTTTCTAATTAATCCACCATGGGCAAAATTTCCAAAGACTGAGACCTCAGCAACTGAGCAAATAATCTTAGATTTCTTTTTGTCTGTGCTTTTAGCACTTCAGGAAGCAAAAAACTGTTTACAAGACATCTCCTGTCCAACATATTGAGAGATAGAGGCAGAATCAAGTAATTTGCCATATATAGGCAAACATTATTAACAAGTCTTTGAGAGTCTCACAAATGTAGGACCCTAATAATTTTAAAATACATAAAAGAAATGCAAAAGAAATTTCAGTGATATGGGAGTCAGATGACTGATTTGTCTAAACCAAAAAAATTTACTTGCAGTCATGAGGCAAGCAGGAACTCATGATTCAACCCAAGCTTACCTATAAATATCCCATATAGATACAAAGTTTATTTGAATAATCCAAGTACATCAGATCTCATTATCTATTCCACTGTTAGCTATTTTTAAAGTTATTAGAGACTTAGTTATTAAAGATTTCTTCATACTAATTCTAAAACCTATTGTTTCTAAATCTAAATGTTCAGGGAGTTACACAAAAGCTCAATCTCAAAAAAAGACTATCATATTCTTCCCTAACATTCAGTCTCAAAGATTCTACCAGTACTTGTAGATTTATGCATTACATTACTTTCTAAGACCTGTTGTAGGAGTACAACATAGGAATGATGCAAGTGGCACCCACACAATCATCATTTTATGAGTTGAACTACACAATCTCTCAGTTCCTATTTTTAAGATTTGTTAAATATATATTTATATTTTTTAAAATTCAAATTATCTTTCATTTCCAAGTTTATTTAAAATGAGATTCTGTGGTCTCTAGATAAATTTGTAATATGGGCCTCCACACTACCTCTAATTCAAACACCTAACATTTTACTTCACCCACAATAAAACTTCAGTGTCATACACGCTTTTATGGAAACTGTAAAAATACATTATTTTTCCCAATATTCCTACTACTGAGAATTTTTAAGGAAACACTTTAACAAGAAAAAAATGCAAGACACACAAAGATTTAAAGCACCTCATTTATGCCAGTAGAAAATAGATAAAATCAAAGCACCCAGAAGGGATAGAAAGGAAATGGGAAATTCTTCTATTAAAACATATTTTGAACACTAACTACAAACAAGAGTTTGGTACATTACGGAACCAAGAGATGACAAACTATTCTGGACTATGATTGAATCTAAAGTTAAAATGCAAAAGGTGGTGGTTTTGTGGGTTTCGTACATTAAGGAACCAAGAGATGACAAACTATTCTAGACTATGATTGAATCTAAAGGTAATATGCAAAAGGTGGTGGTTTTGTGGGTTATTTTCCCCCATATTTTCTGATATTATGGCTATATAATTTTAAGTTAAAAATGGAAAATATAAAGGTATTTCCATATCACTCAATCTTAACACCTAAAAAGAAAATATAACTTGTTGCTGAACTTAACATAGAACTACCATTAACTAAATTACCTGTGGGGCTGAGACTGCTAAAATAGAAATACTAAGTCTATTTGAAGAGAGTGAATACCAAAGGCAAAATTGGAATGGCAAGTATGGAGAAAACCTACAAGCTGTAAACTGAAATAGGGAGATCACTGGCCTGTTTGGCAAGTGACAATGGTAAAATAATCCTTGCTGAGTTCAGTCTTGAGCCCCGAGCTGTCAGGTGCTCTTTAGGAGCTCATCTAAGAGTCACCACCATTTGTCAGGTGGTAGAAAGCTACCACAAACTGAATAATTTTTTATCAGAAAAAAAGGAAAGTATAGAAGGTTTCAAATCTAATTCCTCAATGTTCCCTAATGGCAGAGATAAACCACAGTTTAACATTAGATCTGCTGAAAAAGGAATAAAATAGAGGCCAGCAGTTATCCCCATCATTTGTATCCCCAGACATGTTCAGAAATAATATCAATCTCCAACAGCAACGAGGAAATAGATTAGGTTTACATAGGACTGAGGTTAGAATGAAAATTGCAGTCTCCAAATTAAGATAGTACAGAAAAAGCTTACTCTCCCCTGCTACACATTCCAAATGTTTATTTCACATTTTCACAATGGAGGAGAGATGGAAACCAAGCAAAGAGAACAGAAGAGAAATACTAGATTTCTAAAGACAATGCACAGATAATGGAGAGTATCAAGATATTAAAAGTTAAAAACAAAAGCAACAATTTGAAAAAACACCAGCACTAAGTAGATGGGGGCCTATTAAATTAGAAAACTCCGTCTTTCAAGGAAAGTTCACTGAAGGCTGAATCATAATCAAATGGTAGGTTCATTCTCAAAACTAGGGTCCCTAATGATTATAAATTTTTTATTATAATAACTCAGGCTATGCTGGGGAAAAAGAACTGCCAATCGCATATATTAGTACAGGCTGATCAGGGAACCCTCCATCTGAATAACATCAAGGTAAGTGACGTTTCCTCTCCACCCTCCTTCTACCTTCGTACTACCAAAAGACCTCATATTAAAATTATAGTTGTTGTTTAGATGAATCACAAAACAGATTTCACCATGCTAGCTTTCTCAGATGAAATCAGGCACATTCAGGGTGGTATAACCAGAGATGCCTTTACCTTTTTTTCAAAACAAATGTTTTCATGCCTCTTTTTATTCTGTCTCAACTCACTGATTCAAATAACTCTGGCTATATCTGGAGAGCGGGCTACTTAGTTCTTCCACAGGCTGTTAATCATGGCTCGTTTCATTTAGGCACTAACCATAGATGAAATGCAAAGAGCATATTGGGTCAGTATCCTAAATAATGTCATACAAGTAGTGGATTCATTTCCTTTTGGAAAGTTTCATGAAATTAAGACTTAAATGATGAACAAATGTAGTAGAAGCGTTATTACTTCAAATTATCCTCTCTAAGGAATTGGATAACACATTCCACTACAGTCAGCAATGACAAAGACAGGACCACTGTAACACCAATATCTGCAGAGAACCACAAAACCAAAACCCATAGCTCTTTAAGAAATCTGTTGAAGAGTAAATGGCAAAAATCATAAGACCTTTCTAATCTTTTGTGAAAGAATCCTAGCTATATTCCACAATCTTCCTCCTTTATAGAATACTCAGGAAGTTCTTTTTTTGGTACTGAGGATTGAACTTGGGACCCTGTGCTTACAAGGCACCATTAAGGGGAAATCCCCAGCCCCTCAGGCAATTCTTATAAGCAGGATGTTTAAGATTTTTTTTATAACCCAGATCTCTCTGAATTAAGACTTTTCAGGGTAATAGTTTCAAACGAATATTTAATAACAAAACGACAATTCTTTAAGTGATTTTTTTCATAAAAAATAAATGCATTACAGCAAGTAAGGACAAAGTAAAGGTCACAGGCTCAATGGCTCTTTTTGTTAATAATCTAAATTGCTGTTAGGGTTACTTCCATTTAAAAATTTTTTTAAAAGTCTCCAAAATGTACCTTATATAAGATACACAAATATTAGAAAATTAAGCATGTATATAAACATGTAATTTTAAGACAGTTTCATGTATAAAAATTTAGATTAAAATTTTCAATGTAAAATTAAGCTAAAATTATGAAATTATCAATTAAAAATTTATAACTCTTTAAAGTTAAAAATTAACTAACCTCTACTCTCAAGTTCTATCCTAACAAAGGGATAATCTGATTTAACAGCATGATCCTTCTATAGATTTTACTTCTAGAAAATAAGACAAAATTGATCCACTGGATAATTAACTACAGCCTTTCTTTCTAGTTTAAAAACAAGACAAAATAACTGTACAACCCAACACTTTAAAATTTCTCACACTAACGATAGACATATTGTATTTTTGGAAAACACATTTTAAAAAATTGTATCAATATGAAAAAATCTTTGAAACTAAAGTATGCGTTAAATGAGGTGAATTACACATGTTGAAACTCTCTTCCATTAGTGCATGGCTAATAGGCAGTAAATATCCATTAAGTAATTTAGAAAGGGCTCCCCTCTGATTTTACCTCAGTAACTCTCACTTATCCCTTCCGTCTCACTTGTGACTAAACTTCTCCCAGAGGTCTTCCCTAAATCCAGACTATATGCCCTAATTATGTACACCTGATAGCATTTTTTACTTCCACTAACAAAGCATTTAGATACACTGTAGTGTAACTGGCTGATCTGTAGAGACTGGCACAAACGGGTACTCAAATACTTGCTGAAAGAAGAGGTCAAAAGTAAAGCAATAGCCTCAGTGGGGCAGAAGTCAATCCTTCAGATTAGGCTATAACAGTAAATCAGGAGTGAGGGCAGGAGCAGAAAGAGAAGAGCCATGGGTAGAAAAATCCCTTGGATAAATCTACTCCCTTGTGAAGAGTCTTTTGTAAAGACTTCTCAAAGCATAAACAACCAGCTCAGGAAAACTGACCAATTCACACCAATCTATTCACTTTTAAAAGGTACATGTATGGCTTAAAAACTAGATGAATCAATTTAAGAAAATGGGTTCACATCTTATTTAATTCACTGGATTCATAAACTGGATTAAGGCTCACCTGTCATGGGATCAAAGAGCTGATTAGCTTCTAAGTCTGTGAAAGTACTACTACACACAGGACATTTGAAGGAAGCCCGGTTGGTGGAATCTCTCTCATCCGTTTCAATCCTCCTTCTCATGTGGTCTAGTTTATATTTTACCACATTAACGAGAGTACGATAATTGATAAAGTAGTAGTTATGGCGAGTGGTTTTTCCATCTGCAGCAGTTTCTACTCTCATTCTGCATTTGATGAACTTGTCTCCCTTTAAATTATTCAAAACTGATCGAAGTTGCTTTCGATCAAACTTGAGTAACTCCAGCATATCCTCCTCTTTCACACAGGGGTTCCGAATCAAGATGTCCAAGGCCAACACATGTTCGATGCCATAAAAACCCCGGATCACGTACTTTGCTAACCTCTTCAATGCTGCTGGAACCTCAGTGAGGACATCTGGGTCTGCCATCTTTAGCAGCAAATTTCAACTTTATATCCACTGAATTTAGAAAAAAAGAGAAGATTAGTAGGCATGAGAACATGATGATTATTTTAAAGAATAATTAACATGTTACTAATAGCTAGTAGTTATCACTATTCTTGGAGTGTCACAAAGGTATTCAAACATTGTTTTAAAAGACTTCTAATACCTAAACACTTAACGGGGAAGAACAGGGTTTTCCTCTACAATGCACAAAAGCTTATACCTAATAAAACTGAAAATTTTTTTCTTTTTTTAGTACCGGGGATCAAACTTAGGAATGTGCACTTGCCAGGCAGATGCTCTGCCGCTGAGCTAAGCCCCTGGCTTGAATATATTTCTTCTATGGTTACTTTCCTGATTGACAGTGTGCTTGATTTTTAAAAAAATGGCTTATTTATAACAATGACATATCAAGCCCACTTTATTTCAGAAAGAGAAATACAGAAACATATTTTTTTCCCAGTAGAGACTGACTCTAGGGCTTTCACACCAAGCTACATCGCCAGCCCTTTTTTTTGTTTACTTTGAAACAGAGTCTCACTAAGTTGTTAGATGCACAGGCTGGTTTCAAATTTGCAATCCTCCTGCCTCAGCCGTCCAGAGTGTTGAGATAACAGACATATACCTCCAGGTCTGCTATAATTCTTTTGTTTGTTTGTTTTGTTTTTTGAGACAGATCTCCCCATGTAGTAGAGACTGACCTGGAACTCACTGTGTAGCCCAAGATGGTCTCAAACTCACAGTGATCCTCCTGCCTCAGCCTCCTGAGTGCTGGGATTACAGGTGTGTGGACACCACGCCCAGTTTTTAATTCTTAATGTTCTCTAGGAACAATGGAAACCTCCTGAGAAACCCAAAAGTAAGCACATCTTTAGAGTGTTTATGTTTCCTTTCTTGGGTAAAGTTTTTCTATGAAGGCTGTAAGAAGTTTTAGAGAGTCATGCTTTCACAATAAAATCAAAACAATCAATACCATAAGTAATCACCAGTTGGGACTTTGACAAAATTAACTGTTGTATATCTAAAAGAAATTAAAACTTAGATCCAGACAGTTTTACCAACCTTGAAAAGTTAAATCTGATAATTAAGTAAACACCATCTAGTTGTTTTAAAAGGTGTGGGGGGGGTCCAAGATAACCTTAAATACCAGGTGCCTTATAGGACAAAACAGAAACTATACATGCCTAATTTCATGTAATAGTCAAAAGCTGTCCTCAAAAAGCCCCAAATTGGCATGTGTTTCTGTGGTTTGGGAGCTGTGTAGGCCTAACCAAACCCTTTAAATAAGCCATAATTTAAGCCATAATTTATCCACTACAAAGTAAAGATAATGGTGGTGTTGTGATTAATGAAAATGTAAGTAATGTGTGTAGGAAGGACAAAGAACAGCTTCCATACCAATTTAAGACACTCTAAAGTACAAATGGCCAGGCCATCCAGACTACAACTGGCGAAATCTTCAGAGAAACTGTTAACAAGCATTCCCCACTGAACTACATAAATGAGGAATATTCAGTCATTAAAACTAGCTTCAACTGAACCTCTCATTTGAGATCAGTGGTTACCCATAATAACAGATTTAATGCTCCTTTATATGAGATATTTTTATAAACACTGTACTGCACCATAAAGAAATTCCTATGTAGCCAGGCTATACACATATTTCGGGTTTTAAAGCACACACACACACACATGCACACACACATATATATATAGTTAGACTGTAATAAAGGGAGAGTCAGTTACAATAAAATGTACACTTGTTTATAAATATTCAGGTGTAACTATATTCAAAGAGAGATAACAAAGTAACACATAGATCCATACCAGCGTCCTCAATTCTTCCTGTCACCCAGGCATTAAGGATATTTATGTTCAATACTAAAAGAACAAGGGCCGGGGATCCAGCTCAGTGGTTCCACTGCCTGCCTTGCAAGCACAGGGACCTGAATATGATCCCTGGTACCAAAAATAAAATAAAATAAAAATTAAAAATACTAAAACAATTGTAGCACACTACTGAACCCATTTTGGTTTCCTCTCCCAATTGGTCTGTACAGTGTACTTAAACTGGGTTTTGGTTTTTTTGTTGTTTTGCACATTTGCCAGTCGGCAGAATACAAAAAATGGCTTCAGAGATGTTCAAAGACCAAGGAATAACAAATGTACTATAACCTATATTTTCAATATTACTTCCTACTATTGTTTTCTCCTCCCCTTCCCCCATACATTCAATGCACCAGATCTGTGATTCTCAAGCCTGGCTGTATAGCACAATCATCTGGAGGGCATCTAATACCAATCCTGGCCCCTAGTCTCACAAGTTTTGTTTCAGCTGGTCTGGGAGGCCAAAGAAGGCTTCACATTAATTTTTAAAAATTTAAGATGACTCTGACATGAAGCAAAAGTCCTGATCACTGCTCTGGACAACCTCTATCCCTAGCTATTACATATCCTTCCTGGAGAGGTCCCTGTGCCATTTAATTGCTCAGCCTGCTCCCTGTGCCTAAGAACCCCTAAAGATCAGAGCCGGGGAGAGGGATTAAGGACTCTGCAATCCTAAAGTCTAAGGTTTTGAATCCCAGTTCCACTCTGGGGGTGGGGGGTACTGAGGACTGAACCTAGGGCCCTTGCACTGAGCCACATACCTAGCCTTCTCCCCTTTATTTTGAGATAGGGTCTTGTTAAGCCACTTCTTATACTGTGACTCCAGAAAATTCCCAGCCTCAATTTCTTCATATATAAAAAGTAATAGTGTCTTCTTCATACAGTTGATGCATGGATTAAATGTAATTAAAAACTCTTTGCTCCCAGACACTGTAACCAAGAAGAGAAATGTATTGTGGAAATAGGGAACACCTGAAGATTATCTTTGGAAGAAATGAAGTGTTCACTTTGAGAAATCTCTCTTTGAGGAAATAACATATCATTTTTCTCTGAAAATGCCTAACAGGTAGCTGAACAATAACACGAGCTCAGGAATGAGGTCAAGCTGTACAACCTGTTTCAAAATCTCTGCATTTTGAAATCCTCTCCCCGACCACTGTCTTATCTTCTCTACTGCCTCCCTTTTCCCACTCATGCTTAATTTCCTATTTCAATCTCGATTTCTTAACTTACTTAAGGCAGTTAATACACACTGTTTCATCCAAAGAATGTTTTGAACATTTGTGAATTCACTGCCAACATTTAAAAATTATGGGTTTGCATAAATTTCAACTTCAAGCTCCTCTTGAAACTACAAATATCTGGGCAAAAAGTGAGCCTATATTCCCACATGGATAAGCTGAGGCTGAACAGCAATTAACACTTAGGAAAGGCACTTGGCTGGTATCTGGAGATTTGAGTCATCAGTCATCTTCCAAACTCACCTATCCCCCTACCTAGTTCAGACCCACAGGTATTCTAACATACAAACACCCAGCCACAGAGTTAGAGAATAAAGTTGAAAGAATAAAGTTGAAAGGAACAAGATCCGCTCCACGGTCAGTGTGTCACCAGCATACTCTCCAGTGAGCCACACATGCTTTCCCTCTGCTCCTGAAGCGAAGTCAAACTCCTTTTTGCTATTCATCCTTCAAGTCTCAGTGTCATTTCCTTACAGAGGCCTTCCCAGGCCCCCTATGGTGGCATAGAATGATCTTTAGTACGTCCCCATATCTCTTTCCCAATCTTGTACTATCTCTAAGACCTAGGGCTTCATCATGCTCTCCAAGGAACTTCAGGCACCGGGTGTCAAGTACTTACAAAAAACTTTCAATACATCTCCTAGCCACGTGTTACTCCAACGTGCCCATCTTGCCAACTTCCCTACACTGCTTCCCTAATAAAAAAACACTATAGTAAGCCTCTCTCCTGTTAAACTAACTGTAGCTTTAAGCAGGAGGTGACTGGATCAAATTTGTGGTTAAAAAAAAAAAAATGCGGACTCCAGGGAGGAGAATAAAAGGAAAAAGAAGCGGATGCAAGGTATTCAATTAGATTATTCCAACATACTACTATTCTAGTTCTGAATGTACTTGGATTCTACACAATTGGATGCAATTTTCTGTTACTGTACATGCTGTATTTCAGAGCACGCTCCACCTTCATACATAAAAAGCGTTACAAACCCTGAAGCCCGAGCTGAGATCAGTAGTGTTCAGTCCTCCCGACACAAGAGCCCGAGGCCCCACGCTCCCTCAAACTCTCCCACAAGGGTCCAGGGCCACACACTCACGGCGCGGCCAAGTTTGTCCTACCCGAGGTCGCACACGGGCCGCTCCCGGGTCAATGATTCTTTGAAGGACCAAGGCGAGAGGGTGCCTAGCAAGATGGGGGTTAAAAAAAGAGGAGCGAAACGTCCGGCCAAGGAACTGGAAAAAGGAATAAGGTTTACCGAAGTTTACCGAAGCGAATCCAGGAACACTCCCCCAATAGAGCTTCACTCAGCTCCTGAACTACCGGCTTACAAGAGCCCACGCCAACTGCGCGACAAAGAAAACGCTTTACTCCTGCGACCAACCTTCGAAAACAACCTCTCCCTTTAATCAGACGGGCTAATCAGCACAGTGAAGCCTTCAATCAAGACGATGAAACTCCGAGCAGCCAATGAAATTGAAGGCTCCGCTCTCCATGCCCCTCTCTGATTGGTCTAGAATCCCGGAACAGGCGTTAACCATGAGGAGGTAGTGGCAACATGGCGTCTCTGGATCGGGTGAAGGTACTAGTGTTGGGAGACTCAGGTGAGTGACCTAACACAACTCTGAAGCTCCGGACACTTTTGAGTTGGCCAACAGTACACACCTTTCACTGCTTACCCCCAGCTTCCAGGTTCTTCAGTCCATAGCTGAAGTTCCTCTCAAGGGCTAGAGACTACACTTCCCAGGGGACTTTGCTCTATTTGAGCGGCAGCGTCCCGCGGGTAAAGGCGCGGAGCACACATTTTTCAGCCTTCGCTGTCTTCCACATCGTTCTTATGGGTGACCCCAGCATAGAGTATGTAGTCAGTTGCTTTATTTTTAAAAGTGTACAGGTTTTGAGTATTGCTTTGAGTTCCGTCCTAAGCATGCAAAAGTTAGTAGGACCGTGCCTTTCTAGAGATTTTGTTCCTTAAATCAACTAAGAATGGAAACTAAGGCTTTGTAGATAGGGAAGGGTGGAGGAGGTGAAGTGGGTGGGGGTAAGGGGAAAAAAATAAGAACCAAGATATATCATGTAAAGGTACAAGATCCCACTGATGAAGGTATCTGTACTGTATATCTAAAAAGTACCGATAAACTCAAAGTAAAAACAAAAACTAAGAACGAAGCAGACAAGCATATATTAACTTTGCATGTGTTAACTCATTTCATTCTGAGATCAGACTCGTAAATCCGTTTTACAGATGAGAAAAATGAGGCAAAGAGATGCACTTAACCAATTTTGAACCCAGAGTCCACGCCCTTAAATATTAAGCCGTACTACACAATGACATGTTAAGTGGTGGTGTTGGGGTCCTTGTTTTCCTTGTTCTCCTTTAATCCAAAACCTATTATGCGCTGCATTGTAGGGAAAAGAGAAAATAAGGGCCACTTTGTGAAGGAGCCAAAACTTAATGTTGAGACCGTTTTAATAAATTCTTTCAGCACCTTGGACATTTGCGAACTACAGTTGAAATTTCTATTTCCCCTTTGCCACACTGCTCTTCTCTTTCCTACCACAACCTCCAGTCCAGTTCTCCTGTAGAACCTGAATAAGTGCTAACCATGCATGCATTCAAGAGTTTTCTGGAGTTGACCTTTGAATTTGTGCTGTCAGCAGAGATACTGTGCCAGGTGGTTGGAGGTAAAGACAACATATCCCAAAGGAGTTTAAAATTTAGCCTTAAAGAAAGTATGTAAAATTGAAGTAGGGAGAGGGAAGTTAAGGACTTCTCACGTTGCTGAAGATTATTTGCCTTACAGAATATCTTACAGAAAGCATCATTTAATATTCTCCTGAAAGTTGCATTATGAAATTATATGAACAAAATCCCAATTTATATTACCCTCACTTTTTCCAACGTGTACCCTGAAGTGGTGCTGAAGTCAATTTAATAAAAATCACTCGATTTTACAGATGAAAAGTAATGGTGACTTAAAGGGACTTGGCAAGTGTAGCACCAAGTACAATTAAAAACTAGAATCCAGTGCTAGCACAGTTCTTCATGACATCTAGAATAGTATTCCTTTTGATTCCCTTTTCTCTTGTATCTAGTAACCTTGATACATACTGTAGGAACTAGTTGATCTATTATATGTTTCACGAGGACTGTATTAGGTGCTAGGGTTATAGCTGTAGTATCAAGCCAGGCAACGTGGCACAAACCTATAATCCCAATACTCTGGGAGCTGATGTAACAGGATTACAAGTTCAAATTCAACCTGTCTCAAAATGAAAATAAAGGGCTAGTGATGTAGCTTAGTGTAAAAGCCTTGTGTTCAATCCCTAGGACTAAAATGGGGAAAACAAAACAAAAACAAAAAACAACCACCATAGAATCAATATATTACATTAACTGGTAGAATTGGCAGCTATGCTAAATGGGGGAAAAGCGTACTGGCAATTAGTAAACCCCCCATTATGCTTTAGGTGTAAAACAAGATGCAGATTTGCCCACCAGGAAACTGATTTATCACACGTTTACTACTAGGCTATATGTACAAAGTCAATTATAGTCTTCTTACCAATTTCTTTTCTTTTCTTTTTTCTTTTTTTTTTTTTTTTTTGAGACAGGGTCTCACCATGTAGTTGAGACTGACTTGGAACTCAATATGTAGCCCAGGCTGGTCTCGAACTCACATGATCCTCCTGCCTCAGCCTCCCAAGTGCTAGGATTACAGGTGTGTACCATCACGCCTAGCTTCAGTTTCTTTTTAACAGTGATTTGCTGTCAGGTTAAAATACACTTTTACACTAAGTCGGCCTTTATATTTAAATTACCAAGTTTGTTTTTGAAGAAAGGCTCATTTCCCTTTTGAAATTTTGAGGCCTTCACAAATATATAAAGGAATAATGAGATTTAAATGTTTGTTTTGTATCCCAGAGAGATATTTGAAAATTTGGTGAAGAATTTGGAAAGTTTCACTCACATGTACTGATTTGTCTTTGTTCTTTCAAATGTTAGGGATGAGCTTAACATTACCAGCAGCTGTATTCAGAGCTGACATTTATTTGATGATATTGGGCCCTTTTCCCCAAAGCAATTCAAGTATATTCTTTTAATTTAATTTAATTCAAAAGGTAAAAACATAGACTCAGAGCCTCCCAAAATTCTTAAAGAAATGAATAGTTAGCCACTACTGCCAAGCACTTCACCTGTTGCCTCCAGTATTGGCTAAAAGTTATCTCCCAAAACAGTTCACGAAGATGTATATAGTATTACTGCATAAAGATATGTACCAGTCAAAATTAAACTATGGCTAGAGCCTGGTATCAGGCAGATTACTAAATGCTGAGATATGTGCCTCAAACATAAACTTCTATGCAAACATAAAGGTGACTATACCCTACAGATTATCAACATCAGATGCAATGCAGTAAGTACAAAAACACATCTTAAGTTTGAGTCCTTCGAAATCTTAAATGTCTGTATTTAAAAAGTAATAAAAGGGAAATATGAGAAAATGTTAAATTGTTTAATTATATGAGACAGTTAATGTCTTTAATGTATAACAAGTCACATAAATTGCTGACACTGAAACCTAAATCCTATAGTCTTTGCAAATCAATTGTCTTTCCTCATAAATTTTCTGTTCATGTGCTTTGCCTATTTATCTCAGGTTTTTAAGTATACCATATATGTAGTTATACTAACCATATGCTTGCAGAAGAACCCTTCTTAAATAATTAAATAAACCTACATATTGACAGAAATGGTATTCCAATAATTTTTTCTGGTACATTCTAGGTTATCTGTAAATATAACTTTTTTATAATAAAAAGAAGTGTGATAGTTTCATATATAATAATGCATACAGAGATTAGTGAAATTTTTGATGCAGCTAGTGGTATCATGAAGATTCTCCAACTGTGCTTGTCATAATGAAATCCCAAAGTGATATTGAATGAGTGAGTAACTGCACACCTGCATGTACAGGAAGAGCTTGTTCCTCTTCCTCTTGATACAGACCTCCAAGTATATCCCTCGGCAGTAATAATTAAATTGTCCTGAGCCCAAGACTTCTAAAAGGGGATAAAAGCGTTGCCTCAGAGTAAAAGGCCATCAAGTAGAAAAGAGAGTAGAGTTGATCTTTTTATCCAAAGGCCAGTGGTTAGTTGCTCTTTTAAAAATCACTAAACGGGAGAAGTGGAGTATCTGAATATGGTGGGTCCTGTCACAGGCAGCACTGAAGCACAGTCTGACAGTGCTGTGGAAGGGAGGTTTGAGGATTGCCACTAAAATTGCTTAAGAGTCTATGATTATCAAATACACTAAATAGATTAAACCATTGAAAAGGAAAGAGATTACTTAATTATAAAATTACCCTAGACCAGGTTTCTCCAAGCAAGGCCCCTGGACTGGTAACATCAGTATCACCAGAGGACCCCGTAAAAGTACAAAATCTTACCCCTCCCCCCATCAGATATGATAAGTCAAAAAGTCCAGGACAGGATTCAGCATTTTCTATTTTAACAGGTCCTCTGATTCTAGATGCTAAATTTGAGAGAATCACTTGCTCTTAACCATCTTCCTTTTTATTCAGTGAAGCTTATATTGTTGGTATGGTGTGACAGCCTTTAAACAACCATACTTGAAATATTATTCCTACATAATCTGTCTTGTGTTCACCATAATAAATTTCAGGGTTTTTTAAAAATATGATTTGAATTCTTGTCTCTTTTACAGGTGTCGGGAAATCCTCACTAGTCCATCTTTTATGCCAGAATCAAGTGCTGGGAAATCCTTCGTGGACCGTGGGCTGTTCAGTGGATGTCAGAGTATGTATCTCATGTTTTAGTTTTTCAGTCGTCATATTCAAGATCATTGCTTCAAACTACATGATCAAATTACAGCACGATAGTCAAGATTAAGTAATAATAACTAGCATTCATTAAACTCCTACTTTATGCCAGGTACAAATGGTTTACACATTTTAGCTTAATCTTTTTTAAACTGTCATATATACAGGTGCAGAAGCTAAGGCACATTCACGCATCTTACGAAAAGCAGAGTCAAGTGTTAAACCTAGTTAGTCTGATTTCACAGACTTTAATCATTGTGCCATATACAGTATCAGGAGGTTACTTAGCATGCTCTGTAAATATTCCTGTCTAAGCCTATGCCACTAAGACTGCCAACTTCTGGCCAGAAATGTAGTGTAAATAAAGAAGCTTATGGAACCTTATTTCTGACTCATCTGTTCCATCTCTCATTTAGGGAGTGGGTGCAGTTTCCACTGAATCGGGTATCTTCACAGATATTGTTGGTCTTCACTACCAGCTAGTTCTGATCATGTTGTTCATCTGCTGGCACAGTCTCACCTTTGTTTTAAGAAATAAATAGGGAAAAAATGGTCATTAACTAGACTTACAGTTGTTTTCTTCCATTCATTGAAGCTATAGTTTAATACCCTCTAATTTGGGCTGGGGATTTAGCTCAGTGGTTCTGCCGCCTGCCTCGCAAGCACAAGATCCCGAGTTCAATCCCTAGTACCAAAAACAAACAAAGAAAAAAATACCCTCTAACTTATGTTGCTGTTGATTAGAAATCTTCTGTCCAACTATTTCTTTTAAAGTAATTTATTCTCTAGTTGCTTTCAAGATTTGGTTTTTTTATCTTTAATAGTCTGCATTATACTAATCTATGTCTAAGTGCAGATTATGAAATTATGCTTCTCGTATCTTCAATTTTAAAAACTGGGTAGCCATATCTATTTCCTGTGATTTCCTTTTGAATTTCTGTTAGATGTTCACCCTCTTTATCTTTTAATTGTACTCACGTGCTTTGTATTCTTTATTTCTCCTTTCTGCATGATGTACTCCTACTCCTGTCATCCCTCTAGTTAACTAAAAATCTTTTCAGTGATAGCTAATCTGCTTTTACTATAGCAACTCTCTTTCCTTTCAAGTAGCTATAATTTTTATTTCTAAGTTTTTTAAATGTTAAAATATTTTAAAATGTACTTATCTTTCATTATCATCATTCATATTATGAACTGTACTCATCATTTGTACTTTTTATTGTAATCACTTACAACATATCTATTTTACTTTTTCCCTATCATTTTATTTTATTTTAGTGTTTGTGATATATAATGTTTATATTCTTTGTGTGAAGTTGATATATGACACATCCTCCTTTTTCATCCCCTTTCCTTACCAACCCTCCCCTTTCTTCATCTCTGGATCCCCTTTCCATTTGAGAAAGATCTATCTCCCTGCTTCTATTATCCATCTTTTATTTAATCTTGATTTATAATTTAGGCTTTTCATATAAGACAAACCATGTGATATTAAGCATGTGTGTTTGATTTATTTCACTTAACATTACAGTCTCAAGGCGCATCCTGTTTGATTTATTTCACTTAACATTACAGTCTCAAGGTGCACCCTTTCCTACAAAGGACTCAAATTTATCTTTCTTTATGGTAGCGTAGTACTTCCTTATGTAAAGAACACTTTTTTTTTTGGTATTGGGGATCGAACTCGGGGTTCTTGCACTTGTGAGGCTGGCGGCAGAACCACTGAGCTAAATCCCCGGCCTGAGAACACATTTTCTTTATCCATTCAACTGTTGATGGACATAGAGATTTAGCTGTTATAAATTATGCTGCTATAAACGTGTATGCATGTATCTTTGCAATATAATGTCTTTAACTCTTTGGGGAAAATACCTAGAAGGGGAATAGCTGTATCAAATGGAATTTCTAGTTTTAGTTTTATAATGAATCTTCATAGTGGTTGTACTAATTTACACTCCCACCAACAATGTAGACTGCACTCCTCCCAGCTTCACCAGCATTTGTTATTATTTGATTTCTTGATAAGGCCATTCTTTCTGGGATAAGATGGAATCTCAGGGTTGTTTTGCTTTACATTTCTCTAACACCAGCAATGTGGAGCAGAAGCAGTCCAGGGTAACAAGAGCAATGCCAGAGTTATCACAATCCCAGACTAAGCATTTCGTTTTATACTTTCTTTCGAAAGATATATTTTTCAGGATATGGACTACTTACTGTATATGTTGCTGTACTTTATGAAAATGAATCTCATTGTAATTCTTCAAAAATGTTTTCAAAATGTCTTCAAAAATCTTCTGCAGGATTATTTTTTTCTCTGCTGTGGAAGTCCTACTATAATCCTAGATTCTTCAATGTTATTAAAGTAGCCCTGTACAGTACCTTAACATTTATGTTGCTGCCAGGACCTCAGGAATTGCAAGACTTGTATAATTTTTCAGTTCAGAGTTTCCATGCCATCTACATACCACCCTCACCTGAGAACCCTGACAGAAAGTTTTTTCTGCTTCCTTGAGCCTGTGGACAGTTTCTCCAAATGTTTCTTTCACTGGCTGGGTAGTTCCTCAAGGATCCAGATTTCAAGAAGAGCACTGCATTCTATTCTTATCACTCACACATTCTCTTGCTTTAAGAGTTGGAAAAAGGGTCTGCTGTTCCTGGATGGGCAGTAAAACTGCAGGTACCATCCCATGAAGCTATATCTGAATATGTGTCAGTTCCCACTTCTCCAATTTAAAGTTTTTTTTTTCATTTCTAGTATCCAGCGATGTCCCTTTCTTTCACTTTATTTTCTCTTGAACTAGTTTGTCTCTCATCTCCTCTCTTCCGCTCAACCCTCACCTCCCTTCTCTTCCTCCTCTGTGTGTGTGTGTGTGTGTGTGTGTGTGTGTGTGTGTGTGTGTTTATAGCATTTCTGTGAGTTTGAAATGGAAAGAAGCCTGTCTGTGTTATTTCAGCCTACCGTGTCCTCCAGTTTTTAGATACAAAAGAAATGCTGCAGGCCAGGGATTTAGCTCAGCGGTTCGGTGGCCTCCCTTGCAAGCGCAAGGACCCAAGTTCAATCCCCGGTTCCAAAAAAATAAAAAATAAAAAAATAAAAGAAATGATGCAGGTAATGAATTCAATGGCAACTTTATTTAGGCTTGGGAAACCCAAAATCATATTTTCAACAAAATTCCCTTTAGATTTTTGTAGCTCTTTCTGTGAAAAAGCATAGCATATTATAAAGAAATGTAGACTTAAATCCTTACTTCCTAGGTCAGTTGCCTTTTGCATTTTAAAAGAGTGGACCTTACACTAATCACTTTATCTCCTAAAGCTTAGTTATAGCATCTACAACATAAAAGTACATAATACAGTGACAATTTTATCTAGCCTAAAGATTTATATGAGTGATCAGAAAAGCCTAGTAGATGCAAAATTGTAGTCTAGAGCTTTACAGTTTGAAGGTCAAATTGAACCCTTGTTCAATTTTCTGTCCCTTATTTTACTTATCTACTTCCCTACCCCTCTTTTCTGTTCCCATCTAAGCCCAGTCTGCTCATATTATTCACCTTTTGTCTTGTTCTTTTCCCCTTTCTGAGTCAGCTAAAACTCAAAATGGTGCAGAAGTATCAATGTCATGCTTAAATTTAATTACCAACTTGACTAGATTATGGTACATCAATCAAATTGGTAAACACATTTCTGGGTGTGTCTGGGTGGGTCATAGGAGCCAACCTTGGGGACTATGCCTGATTCCTTGCTCTTTCTTTCCTTTCTGGTAATCTTCCCCTCTGCTCTGCTTCCTTGCTACCATGAAGTGAGCACCTTTGCTCCATTGTGCCTTTCTTCCATGATGTTTCTGCAGTGGAGCCAGCCAACAGTGCACTGAAATCCCTAAAACATGAACCAAGTTGACCTCTTCTTTAATTTGCAGGTGTTGGCTATTTTGTCTCAGTAGCTGGAAAGCTGACTAATACAGAAAAGTCATTACCAGAAAAGCAAAGTAATTGCTATAATCATACTTGAACATATGGTTCAGATGCCTTTGGAACTGGTTTGCAGGAGCAATTTGGAAGAATTGAGAAGTGGGCTGCAGAAAACCTAGAAGGCTGTAAGCAGAACTCAGTGCATAATTCTGGTATGACTTTGGAAACCAGAACGCTGATAGAAATGCAGAAAGTAAAGGATAGGCTCATGAGATTTCAGATGGGATGGACTCCATTGGAAATTTGACTAGAGGCCATGCATGTTAGATTCTGGCAAAGAACCTGTCTACCTTTTGCCCAGGTCCTAAGATTGTATGATTCTGAATTTAAAGATAATGAGATTGATCTGGCAGAGGGAATTTCAAGATCTGCTTTTTAAATTTTTGTGGGGATTCATAGCTAAGAGTTTACTGTGAGTTTTAGGTAAGATATTGGACTTGGACTTTTGAGCAGTGTTGTAACTGTTGAGACTTTGGGGAAGGGACTTTTGAGTTTTTGGTTGTATGCAGAGATTAAATATGGTCTAAGGAGTCATACTAGGGTGGCAAGTTGACAAAGGGTAGAATGTGATGATTAAGCTTAATTTGTCAGCTTGGGTAGTGGAGCACAACTGGATGTATCTGAGTGGGCCATGGGAGTACAGCTTGGGAGACTGCTTTGTTTCACCATGATGTTCCTGCAGTGGTCCCAACTGACCATGGACTGAAACCTCTGAAACCATGAGCCAAATAAACCTCTTTTCCTTTAATTTGCAGGTGTTTAATATTTTGTCCCACCAATGGGAAAGTTGACTAATACAGTCAATAACAAATGACTTTGTTTCATTCCCAGTCTCTAGAGAAGTTTTCAATATGAATGCTAAGGTGTTTGCTGTAGGATATTTTGTATTTACATTTTACTAGATTAAGTAAGTTCCTTTCTGTTGCAAATGATGAGTTGGTATCATGAATAAGTATTGAATTTTATCAGTTGCATGTTCTTGATAATCATGATTTTCCTGCTTTATTAT